TTTCTCAACATCCACAAGACACAAATGTTTCGTAATAAGGACTAACCCAAAAATATGAAATATATACATATAAATATATAGATAACGTAGATAGCAACAAAAAGCGAGTGTCCAGCAGCTATGCACTGTGTCATCCTGGTGTGGGGCTGATACTCGCCCCAAATAACAAGGTGTGCGCGATAAAGAGCTGCACTTTACCGCAATATCTGTCAGAACTGTGCAACGCTCGTATCACCGCCTCCAGACCTTGAGAGTTTGCCTCGCTAGTGAAAGAGAGACTGCTTTAGTCCCACGTGTAATTATCGGCAGATGAGAGCCAACAAGCTGTGATGGGAAAGACGGAGAGGGGGAGAGGAGAGAGAGAGAGAGAGAGAGAGAGAGAGAGAGAGAGAGAGAGAGAGAGAGAGAGAGAGAGAGAGAGAGAGAGAGAGAGAGAGAGAGAGAGAGAGAGAGAATATGTTAGAAACTCCCAACGCATCGTATTTAGCTTCGTTCACTTATTGTATACACACTGAACATATAATACACAGACCCCCCCCCCCTCCACTCATCATACACAGACTCCTGCTTCACACACATGCACCCCGAACACTTCATACACACCATATCCTTTAACAAACATGAATCCCATTGCGCTTCAATTCCAAACAAAGTGATACAATGATACAAACACACGAAATTTGTTTGGGAAACACGTGTGTCCTCTCTAAGCAGCCGCCACATAGATCACATAGGCCTGCTTTAATAATTAAGAATATCTATTAAATCTCAATATGCCTAAAGAGCAAACTTGGACCCGATAATCCTGTAACTCAAACCAAGATTTAATAAAATTTGATAAGTACTCGCGTTAATTAAGAAAGACATTCTTGCTGTTGTACCAGAGTTTTTTTTCCGAAATTTCGGTAGATTTTGGCTATTTTCGTTTGGTTCTGGGGCTCTCGTGTTTTCTCAAATGATTTATTTTTTTAGTCTAGTTTTTGATGATTTAATCAATAAGTGGCTAATTACTGATGCACGATTGAGTTACATTTCTGCATGAATGGCTTCGATTTATATATGTACCTTTATTACTTGTTTCATTGCCCGTACCGCAGCAATGTTTGCCTTTACAACATTTCCACATGCTTGGGTAATATTTATGCAGACGTATATGAGATTTCTGCATGACTCATTTACCATTCTGAATCCCTGGAGTAATATATATATATATATATATATATATATATATATATAGACATATGTCGTACCTAATAGCCAGAACGCACTTCTCAGCCTACTATGCAAGGCCCGATTTGCCTAATAAGCCAAGTTTTCCTGAATTAATATATTTTCTCTAATTTTTTTCTTATGAAATGATAAAGCTACCCATTTCATTATGTTTGAGGTCAATTTTTTTTTTATTGGAGTCAAAATTAACGTAGATATATGACCGAACCTAACCAACCCTACCTAACCTAACCTAACCTATCATTATCGGTTAGGTTAGGTTAGGTAGCCGAGAAAGTTAGGTTAGGTTAGGTTAGGTAGGTTAGGTAATCGAATACACATTAATTCATAAAAACTTGGCTTATTAGGCAAATCTGGCCTTGCATAGTAGGCTGAGAAGTGCGTTCTGGCTACTAGGTACGACATATTATATATATATATATATATATATATATATATATATATATATATATATATATATATATATATACCCCTTCTAGGTTATATATATATATATATATATATATATATATATATATATATATATATATATATAAACAACGTTTATCCAGTAATGCAGAATAACTACAATAAAAATAATGTGATTTCTCTGTGTATTGAAAGAAGGGCGTCAAAGGTAGAAATACTTGACGACAGAGCCAGAGTGCATGGGGGGAGAGGGAGGGGAATTTGTGAAACCCTGATTCGGCTTAGGTAGAAGCCTCGGGAATCTTTGTGTGTGCAGTAGTATCCCAAGTTGCAATTTTTTTGACCATGTCGTGGCGTAGTCGTTTAGAGCATGCGTCTGGGAATACCCAGCACATAGGTTCGAATCCTCATCACGGCTCCTGTTGATTTTCTCATTGATATATCCCGATAATGTGATTTCTCTGTGTAATGATAATAATAATAATAATAAAATTAATAATAATAATAATTATTATTATTATTATTATTATTATTATTATTATTGTTATTATTATTATTATTATTAGTATTATTATTTTTATTATTTTTATTGTTATTATTATTATTTGTATTATTTTTGTTATTATTATTATTATTATTATTATTTTTATTATTATACTCTAATAATACAATGATTGTCTGTATAGAAATGTAATCTATTGTACAAATTAATCCAACATTGTGCATATATAGTAATCATTAGGAATCCATCTTTACCATAATAAGTAAGTAGTTAACTCGAGATAGTAATATAAGACCCCTCTCTCCCTATCCCCCCCCTCACCCCTCTCTCTCAAACACAGTAATTTACAATATAATTCCTAATCTACAGCCCTCAAATAAATAAAACACCCACCCCAGCAATTATATCAAAATCTAACACTTATTAATACAGCATATCCTTCCAAACAAGGTGGTTCGATTATTAAGCCGCGTACCGAAAAAAAGTACTTAATTATCTAAGAAATCCTAGCACGACCATCGAGAGTAATAAAGGAAATAAAAAGAAACCAAGACAGTTAACATTTGCACTTTCCTTTAGCCTACTCCCTCCCCTTCCCTATCATCCCCTCCCCTATCATCCCATCCCCTCCCCTTCCCTCCCTTGCCCTTCCCTCCTCTCCTCTCCCATGCCCTCCTCTCCCCTCCCTTGCCCTTCCCTCCTCTCCCCTCCCTTGCCCTTCCCTCCTCTCCCCTCCCTTTTAATTTAACCGTATTAACATTCACTCAGTTAACATGAATATCAAATAGGTGTGACGCAAGAGTCAAGGGTCTGACGTCACACAGGTGAGATGACCATGAAGGCCAGACTCATCGTTCCGCAAGAAGGTTCAGGTGACCATGAGTACCGTATGTGCAGCTATGAGTACCGTATATGCAGCTATGAGTACCGTATGTGCAGCTATGAGTACCGTATGTGCAGCTATGAGTACCGTATGTGCAGCTATGAGTACCGTATGTGCAGCTATGAGTACCGTATGTGCAGCTGTGAGTACCGTATGTGCAGCTATGAGTACCGTATATGCAGCTATGAGTACCGTATGTGCAGCTATGAGTACCGTATGTGCAACTGTGAGTACCGTATGTGCAACTATGAGTACCGTATGTGCAGCTGTGAGTACCGTATGTGCAGCTGTGAGTACCGTATGTGCAGCTGTGAGTACCGTATGTGCAGCTATGAGTACCGTATGTGCAGCTATGAGTACCGTATGTGCAGCTATGAGTACCGTATGTGCAGCTATGAGTACCGTATGTGCAGCTGTGAGTACCGTATGTGCAGCTATGAGTACCGTATGTGCAGCTGTGAGTACCGTATGTGCAGCTGTGAGTACCGTATGTGCAGCTGTGAGTACCGTATGTGCAGCTATGAGTACCGTATGTGCAGCTATGAGTACCGTATGTGCACCTATGAGTACCGTATGTGCAGCTATGAGTACCGTATGTGCAGCTATGAGTACCGTATGTGCAGCTATGAGTACCGTATGTGCAACTGTGAGTACCGTATGTGCAGCTATGAGTACCGTATGTGCAGCTATGAGTACCGTATGTGCAGCTATGAGTACCGTATGTGCAACTGTGAGTACCGTATGTGCAGCTATGAGTACCGTATGTGCAGCTATGAGTACCGTATGTGCAGCTATGTGTACCGTATGTGCAGCTATGAGTACCGTATGTGCAGCTATGAGTACCGTATGTGCAGCTATGAGTACCGTATGTGCAGCTATGAGTACCGTATGTGCAACTGTGAGTACCGTATGTGCAACTATGAGTACCGTATGTGCAGCTATGAGTACCGTATGTGCAGCTGTGAGTACCGTATGTGCAGCTATGAGTACCGTATGTGCAGCTATGAGTACCGTATGTGCAGCTGTGAGTACCGTATGTGCAGCTGTGAGTACCGTATATGCAACCTCCTTTGGCGACACGTGTATTTTCATTAAATAATCCTTCTTACCAACCCTAAAATATCTAACTATACCTAACATAACTGAACCACACGTATGGTAACTGAATCTAACCTAACCTAACATAACTAAACCTAACTTCATATAACGTAATCTAACACAACCTAAATTAGCTTTACCTAGCCTTACTGAATCGAATCTAATTTATCTGAATTTATGCCAATCTAACCTAACCTAACCTAACCTAACCTAACCTAACCTAACCAAATCTAAGAGAACTAAATGTAACCAAATCAAAGATAACTAAACCAAGTTGGCAAGGACCAGGGGAATCCTATTGTCTAATTAAAACAAAACATTGCAAAGATCAGAAACCTAACCTCATTCGCCCCGTAAACAGCGAATGAGATTAGGTCTATGTGGCAGTGCACAATAGAAAGTTGTTTTCACATATCCATACATTAAAACATTGATTGTAACCATGATATATATGTTCTTCCGCCTACAGTTTAGACCTATTGTCTTGTGTATGACCCTCTGTCCTGCGTGACAGTGAATACCAGCATTATCCTCACTTTAATAAGACTTAATCGAAATCCTCAGATTAGGCAAAATTGTAATTAATTTTGTCAATAAAGATGTTATTAATAAATAAAGGTCTATTTAAGCACACCTACCTTGGTCCCTGGAAGCCGGTCGGCCGAGCGGACAGCACACTGGACTTGTGATCCTGTGGTCCCGGGTTCGATCCCGGGCGCCGGCAAGAAACAATGGGCAGAGTTTCTTTCACCCTATGCCCCTGTTACCTAGCAGTAAAATCGGTACCTGGGTGTTAGTCAGCTGTCACGGGCTGCTTCCTGGGGGTGGAGGCCTAGTCGAGGACCGGGCCGCGGGGACACTAAAACCCCGAAATCATCTCAAGATAACCTGAAGAAGGTACCCTGAGAATCTCACATTACCACACGCCAACTCTGTCTTTCCTTCTACCCCCTTTCCTCTCCTCGTTCCTTCCCCCCTCATTCCCCTACCCAAAAAAGGCTAATTCAGAAGGAGCAATTATGTCTGGGTGGTTACGCCAGGTAGTCTGATCGGATAAATCATCATCAGAGGCAGATATGAATCAGGGGTTATTACCCACACCAACCGACCCCCGTTACTCTGATCGCAGCATCAGATACCTCGCATGTTTTATTGGAGCCGATTTCACGAAATAATATGATTTATATATATGAGCTTACGAGGTAGCAATGTTTACGAGATATCATACTTTACGGAACTGAATTTGCGAGATAAAATCCATAATTGAACTCAATTTACAAGGCAGCATGCTTAATTAAACTTAGTATACTAGGGAGCATGCGTAATTGAGCTCTGTTTAAGAGATCAAAGCTTCATTGAGATTAGTTTATGAGACTATTCTTAATTGAGTGGAGTTTGTGAAGAACAGCGTAAAATGCTTCACTGAGGCTTACTGCTTCACATTGTCGCAGTGCTTCACTGAGAACCATTGGGCGCCCTTTCCGCATTAACATTGGCCAAATGCTAATCCAGCCTTGTTAATAGAGGTTAATCCAGCCTCTAAATCCTTGTTTATGAGTGAAAAACACGTTACACACAACCGATGACTGTCGAACATTCAGCGAACACTGGTTCGGTGATGCCTCAGCTGGAATTGTACTTTCATTATTGCCTCACCCGCTGTTGTTTTTAGATTCAGCACGTCAGAACAACCCCTTAAAAGTAGCACGGGCTATGGTGAGCCCGTAGTGGACTTACCTGGCACAGGAGCGGGGTTGTAACTGAGGTCTCACCCAAGTATTACAATTATAAATATTTGCCAACAGAGCATAAACACCTAACCTAACTTAAATAAATCTCTACCGAACTCTTGACTCTTGACCGAACTGTTCACTAAGTTGAGAGAAACTGTCTTGATTGCAGTACCATAAAATTGATGAATATGTCTCTGGGGTTAGACATCATCTTGGAATCGATGATGTGCATATTCCGAGTTGAGTTTGCGACTGAAGATATTCTAGCTCATCATCAAAACAAATGCCGTTAGATTGGAAAGGTATAAATCATATAACGGGCTATTGAAATGTGCATATGTCAGTATTTGACTTATAGTCCACGTGACCATCTTCGAGTCTACTTACTTCGCCTGGAGAGTAAACTTTCCTTAACCCAACGTTACTAAAACACCTTCCCAGATGCACACTATCCAGGAGTCAGGTTAATTAACGTTAATTCGACGTTATCAACGTTCATTCAACAATGAATTAACGTTACATTTGGGTATTGTGTAACACTTGAGTTACCAAGCCTTATATGGACCTAAATATGCACAAACCCATAATATATATAAAATATTAACTTTTATTTTACGAAGAAAAAACTTTTATTATTTTACTGAATGAAATATTCCTCCGGTTGGTTATTTGATGTCAAATACTGACTTATTAAAATCAACGTTTTTTTGTATTAAATGGAGGATGGGTTGAAATATTCTAGTCAACATTAGTTTACTATGCAGATGGGTTTTTTGAGCATGGTTTAAGAGATAGCATAGCTTGTTATACTGATTATACGAGGCACTGAGTTTAGTTTGTAGATGGATATTTTACGAGTACAGTTTGCGAGATAATGCACTAATAATAATAATAATTATTATTATAACTATTACACAGAGATCTATTAAAGATCTGAAGCAACTTTCTTTATAAGGTTAGTTGTCACCTGTATTGCACTCGAGGAAAGCGTGTATCTTTCTTTAGGCATGTCCTCTTAAACGAAGGTCAAATACTCGTTAATAATCCTGCCCCCAAACCCACTTGTTTATGAATAAATAAACTTTATATTCAACTTACAACTGATAACGTCGAACTATTCTCGACCAAGGGCTTCACTCTCGTTCGATGTTCGAATCGTATCTCTGCAAATATTTCACTCACGTGCTAGAAATATTAATAATTTTCATGACACCTACTCCCAACCAAATTTAGTAGTTACTGCGCGCTAAATTATAATTTACAATAATATTCACTAAATTTAGAAAATGCCAATTTTACCCACATTCAGACAAGAACTGATGTTTAGATAAAAAACAATTTGTTTCCTTATTTTCTACCCCAGACGTGGGCTTTAATTTACAATGCTAACCAACATATGTAAATATTCTTCCGTCCGCAATGTACGAGGTTAGAGATCCGTTAAACTTTATTTATTGTAGTAGGTTATAGAATACTTAACGAGAAGCGACTGAAGAGCTTCTACAATGCCAGCCATCATATGTACATTATCGTAGGTCCTATATAGTCTGGGGTTTAATATTTGTTAGACCACATATAGTAAGATACTGAACCCTTGACCCGAACATGAGTGAAGTGTTTTCAAATTACACTACAAATCAACATATATTTATATATAAGTCGGTCCTACATAAATTAGACAAGAAAGTTACAATAGATCATAGTGAATTATTGAGAACTTTAGAAGCTTCAATTTAATAATATCACATATATTGCATAATTGTTGCAAAACGTAGTAAATTTTGTATACAGGTCCATTTATTTTCAAGTGTTACAATCCATTCACCCTGGGCTGTGAACGATTTTAAGTGTTACAATATTTAGATAGTATTTGCAGAGAGCTCAGCATATCTTAACGAACAATTCGGGGGGGGGTCAGTGTGGGATATTTAATTATATAATTCACACGATGAGTCACAATAACGTAGCTGAAGCGATGCTGACCAAACCACACACCAGGGGAAAGATTCACGAAGCAGTTACGCAAGTACTTACGAACGTGTACATCTTTCCTCAATCTTTGACGGCTTTGGTTACATTTATTAAATAGTTTACAAGCATGAAAACTTGCCAATCAACTGTTGTTATTGTTATAAACAGCCTCCTGGTGCTTCGGAGCTCATTAACTGTTTAATAATTGTAAACAAAGCCGCCAAAGATTGAGAAAAGATGTACACGTTCGTAAATGCTTGTGTAACTGCTTCGTGAATCTGGCCCCAGAAGATGAGGAGATGATGACGTTTTGGACCGCCCTGGACCATTATCATGTCGTTCGTGTAGACGAAACGACGTAGTTTCTCCACTTTCTTACTTTTATTATATTTTTTTTTACTTTTATTAGGAGGATCCACATCCCTCTACCATCATTACCAAGAAGCGTAGCATAATTTCCCCCACATGATCACAAGTACACCCTTACCACCACCACAAGCACCCCCACCACAACCGCAAAATCCCCCCTACCTCCATCACACAGCCTGCCACCACTCACATCACCACTTTCCACCACACTATACCCACCACCACACAAGCCACCCAATAACGAACGACTCTTACTCAACCATACCAATTCCCCCCAGCAGTGGTCCACACGGTAGCCCCAATGCTGCCAATCCACAGCCCACTCTAACCGTTCCCTTCTTTCTCCCCCCAAAACACCGCTTCAGCAAAGGAGCCTGAAGATACGTCTCCTACAAGTTCATATCCTCACTCTGTATTCCTGTAACCATTAGTCAACAGCGTCTAAGACGGGAGTCGCTGAGACTAGGTGAAGCTTGCATAACATTGGTAACCATTTTATTTTTTTTTTCACCCTCTCGCTGGCTTTAATTATCTAACCTCGTTAACATGGCCGCGGTGGAGGTGCGCCAACACGGCCAAGCTCAACGGGATTTGAGCTCCAGTCGTCTCTCGCTTCTCTAACGAGCACCTCGACGAACTCCTCATACGGAACGATGTCAAACCACACACTCAGCTGCAGGTAACTGGACATAGCAGTCCTATAGCGAGGTCCGATACTTCTCAGCTTCGGATACATAAACAAGGGATATTTTCACGAGGTAATTACAGTCCAATAACTTTAATTCATGCCTGTAGCAAAGGTGAAAAGCGTGAAGATTACGGGGCGGTGGGATTACCACGCGCTGAGAATTGCTTCGCGTGGAAGGTAGAGCTGGATAACGATAGGAGAGGGATAACAGATGAAGAGACGGTAAAGAGAAAGGA